GTCTCTATGTCATCCAAGCAATGTGCTGTTGCTAGTGGCAGGGTAAATAGAATTTTAGATTGTATCTACAGAAAAATGTAATACAAGTCTGAAGAGATTATAATGTCATTTGTTAAGCTACATTTGGAATAGTGTGTTTAGTCTTTGGCTCTTTATCTTAGAAAGGACATTTAATTGTTGGAAAGGGTTCAAAGGAGGACTACTACGGTGGAAAAGTTGTCATACAATGATAGGTTAAGGTAAGGATTTGGCTTAACATAGTTAAAATGTGGAACTTTAGTTTTGCATAATATATCGATGTGATTATTATTCAGTAAGGAAACATGATGATTGTATAACTGAGAACCTATGTTATTTTAATAAGTAACATTACCTAAAAAATCCATTATACAGTAATAAAATTTATGTTTTTTTTTAGTCAAAAGTTAAAACTGTTTCACATTTAGATCTAAAATTTTCAAACCTATTGGTTTCTCTTTTTATTTAATGATATATATTGTTACGACAGCGGAGGTCACATGATGCTAGTAACACGTCATCCGCTTCTCGAACGTTCACGTCCCTTCCTGAAGTATTGAGAGGCTACTAGATATGTGGTAGTCTTGTATATATAAGCCGGTAAGAACTGATGGCAACAATACAAGGTTATGTATAATTGACAGTTGAGTCGAGCACGTGAGACGTTCATTGTGAATTATAGCGTTTGTTATAGCGCGACTGTGGAAATTAAGTGTATTGCAAAGTTGTATTCAGAAAGAATAAACCAGTTTTATTTGAGAAAGGACTTGTATTGCTAAAGTTTCTTCGGAAAGAATTTTTATGGAAAATTAACTAACGAATGGAGGCATAACAATATGTTGTTAACATAGTGAATTAAACAAACTTTTTCTGTTGGAATTGATTTTTTTCCAGAAATGATAAAAAATATATGTATATCTAAATACAACAAAAATCAATAAAATTAAATTTATCTGGAAAAAATTTGACATTTCAGCATTAATTGAATGGTTGTCAATAGGTAGACATGAATCCAGTCAAATTTAAATGTCTCATTAAATTAAAAAAAATTAAAACAAAATGTTGTTCATCTGAAAAGTTGTTGTAATGGGAAAACAGTTTTTACTATTCCCAAAAGATGGAGTTAAATACATAATGACTGATAAAAAACCTTGTGGGGTAAAGTGTGAGCCAGAAAAGCTATTTTCAGACAAGACATGATGCTGTATACAAACCTTATAATCTCATTGTTTTTGAAAGTAAATTTGACTTATCATTTAAGCCTGATAAGAATGTCTTATGACAGATAATACTGATTATAAAACAGGAAATATTATAACATGTACTTGTACCCAAATCTACAAGAATGTTGTTTAATTTCTTTTTCTAAAAAAGTTGTGTTTAAAAAAATGGTTGCATAAATACTTTTACTAAAATTGAAAACAATATCTGTAACAAACATTTCAAGTTAATTACAATGTTTAAAAATGTTGAAACATATTTTTAAGCTTTGCAACACACAGTAGTAGGACCATCTCATAAAATTTGGTAAGCTTTGCAAGTTGTGCCAATTACTTGTGTGATATCAATACTTTGAGTGGTCGCATAATGCATGTATAATGTAGTATGGCCAAATGAGCGTTTGTTATCATGCTAATCATACCCATGGTAATATTGGTATATTTGCATTATATACATGTGAATTTAAACTTAACATGGCTGCCATTGTATAAGCTAAGAGTATTAAGCAAAAAATTGAACACTTACAAGTATTTTTAGGATGAGTTGCATCATGCAAGGTGATTATTATTATGCTAAAAAATTTAGCAGTTTTAAAACAATATTTTTAACCAAATGGTGATTTGATTTTATCAAAAACATTTGGATAGGGTCTTCTCTGTGTTCGTTACTTCTTTTCTGCAAAAGAGCTTAAGTAAAAATGAAACATGGAATATGCTGTATGAATCTGGAAAAAAAGGTTATAAGACATAGAAAGACAACTAATTTTATGTATAATAAATTAGACAAAAAAATCCCCTTTAAAAACTATGGTAATAATTTATTACCTTGGATTTGTTTTGAACAAATGCTCCTTTTGAAGCCAGAAACAAGCCTGTCAGTTAATGACAATTACAGGAACGTTTTGTAATTATCATTAACCAACAGGCTTGTTTCTGACTTGAAAAAGGGTGTTTGCTCAAAATGATGCAAAGTTAATAAATTATTACCATAGTTTGTAAAGGTGATTTTTTCTTTAAAAGTCTAATTTATTTTATTTTATCACCTTTGCTTTTTTCTACTTATTAATTTTATATATATATGTATCTTTTAGCTTAATTGATGATATTGATAACAAGACTAAATTTAAAGATGAAGTTACAAAATGCATTCTAAGAAACATTTGTTTGGATGGTTCCAAGTTAGACAAGTACCTGATAAGGAAGAAATATCCTGATAAGTATTTGACTGATCTTTGAGTTTCATTTTATATCCTTGTTTGATAAACACACAATATCAATATGTAAATTGATGATCTTGACATAAGCTGAGAAGGCAACTATAGCAACAATTTTTATGTACCATAATTGCAGGGTTTTGTTAGAGGTTGGATTATGATTTGAAGGTGATAATAACAGTGTAGAGCTAGTTATTTAAATGTTGTATTAAATATATATATATATAGCTACACCTCATGTTAGATTGTAATAGTATTCACCATTATTACAGAATAAATTGTCATACTATGTTTGTTCAAATGTATTAGATGTTGACATATTTTGTGCACTCTTTAAACATTTCTCTTGAGAAATTCCAGGTGGTATATAATGTTTGTATAATTCATTGTCAATCAGTTGTAATGTTGGATACAATTTGATTAATGTGTATATAATTTAGATCAACCTTAATGTTGTACATAATGCAAATGTATGTGATTTAGTAAATTTTATTATTTGATAATATGTATAAATTACAATCTAACATGAGATGTAACTATATATATATTTAATACAACATTTAAATAACTAGCTCTACACTGTTATTATCGCCTTCAAATCATAATCCAACCTTGAACAAAACCCTGCAATTATGGTACATAATTTTATAGTATGTATAAATTAGATAATTATTTATGTGTATGCAAACTAAGTATAGAATGAAATATTACTGAAGCCTATTCTCTTTTTACGTTTTAAGAATGACAAGTGTAAAATTTAAAAAGAGAATCCAAAGTGTAAGCACCTTATAATTTATTATCTCATCCATTACCATTTTTCTTTTCCCAAACTATAAAAAAATATAACAGATTGTTTTATTTTGTAGGGTTTGACATTCTATCATTCATCATCATGTTGACATTATTTCCTCAGGTTGCAAATCTCTATTTTGATTCTCCTATATATTACAGCTTTTTGACATGGAGATAAAATAAAGACTTGTAACTTGAGGAAGTTATATCAATAGTATGTCTCAAACTTTAAGCTTGTTTGTTTACTTTTTGACATTTGCATTTTCACTTTAAGCTACTTATCTTGTTTTTATATTTTTTGAAGACCCCTATTCCCCCCTTCTTAAATTAACAATTTTCAGTAATTTTGTTTATTTAGCTCTTTTATGTCCATCATGAAAAAATAAATCTGTATAATAATAATACTGTCCTATTTGAAACAGTTTAGTTTAATGAAATATGTAGTTGGTGTATGATGCTCTCTCAGGAAACAGTGACAACCTTTGAATTGGCTTCATGCAAACTGGGTGGCTATTGCTCCTGATATCATTGCCACAGTGTTATCACTATGATGCATGGTGATCAACATACCACATGTTATGTATATGCTTATAAAACATATATATAGCCACTATAGTTATACCCTGTAGCTGTATGGAAAGTCTGTAAATACTAGATTGGAGGGACTGTTGAATTATACTAGAATGGTGTATGGACTGGATTTTGTAACTGCACGAGTTTTATACATGTATGCACATGCAATGCATGTTGGCTAATATTTATATATATACATGCAGACTTTATAATTTTTTTAAGTTGTAAAGCTGTATATATAGATAGCCATATGAATTTTTCAAGTTGTATAGATGCATGCATATATATATTTAATGCAAATATAACACAATCTGTCATAACATAACAGCACAAATAAGCATTTTAAATATTTCTTATAGTTGTTATATTCCCCTTCTGCCTCCTCTTTGCTGGCCATAGTAAAACCAGTCACTGTTTTGCTGTAGCTGGCCAGGTTACTTCTTAGAGTGACATTGTGCACACTCTAAAAGGTCGATAATGTGTTAATTAACAACTATGAATTGATTATATTTCTCCCTCCATTTCTACGACCCTTTTCCACTGTGGTGGGCTGTCGCTGCTCCATACTTTATCTGAAACTAAATATTTTCTAAATAAAATATATAACTACAAAATTTCTGCCTCACTTTCACCTAGAATTGCCATTATTTTTGCCACTGCCTTCTCACATGATTTTTGCCACTCTTTATCTGCAGTATCTATAAAATTCACAATCACGCAGTATTGGCTATAATTCAATACTTACCATCAACCATCACCTTCATTGCCGATCCTATGCTTGAAAATAAGCTTGATGTTATCTTTTAAACTAAGGCTTAAAGATTTGTGTTGTGGGAAACAGCCTAGACATTTGTGTAACATGTGGTCCATGATAAAGCTTTGATTTTGTTCATTTTGAATTTGTTTCAGTAGGAAAACTCTTAGGTTATTGGGTATTTTCTTTACAATAATTTATTTTCTTTAAATCTTTCCAGTTTTTTTGGCTTATTAAAAAATATATTAACAATGGTGAAAGAGTTTCAATAGCTTTAGTACTCTCCATTATAAATAACTAACTTTGAAATGTTAGGTTTATATCATCAAGTTTTAAATTAATGAACTGTGGAGGCTGTATGTATTTGTGTACTTTAGTAATGCCATTAGTTATTATTATTTATCTTTTAAATGTGTTGTTTGATTTTAGAACATATTTGTCAGAGTGAAAACTGAACAACCTGGTGATGTACCACAAGATGAGATTATTTCTAAGTTCAGTGACAACAATGATGATGATCTGGATAGTTCCAGTTACAGAGTTTTGAATGTAAAAACAGAAACTGAATTTGAAGAAGATTTACAACAAATTGAATCTAGGTTAGAAAGTGCCTCTGGTAAGTACAAATACTTCCTAAAAACAAAATTCATTGACACTGACTGAAAAGAAATGTTTGAATTTTTGGTAATTTTTAAAAGCTATTAAACCACATGATATAGGATTAATTTGAAGTGTATAGACTCATGTTTGGTGTGCTTTTTGATACCCCTACTTGGGAATTATTGTTAGAAAGGTTTTTAAGTGATAAGTAAAATTACAGCAAAACAATTGAAAAAACTTTTTTTAATTAAGGAAATGGACGAATAAAACAATTATTATTTCTGTAAACTGAAATGGGAAGAAATGTTCTAATTGGTTAATTAACAGTTAGTCATTTGGTATGATGCTATGAGTCCACATAACTTTTTAAAAGTTGGTTGTGTAATGCTGTAAAGAATTTTTTTTATTACATGAAAGAATAATAATTCTAGATTAATCAGTAGTGATCATATGGCTCTGAAGTAACCTAAATAAGTCAAAGTTAAAATAATATTAATATATTCTGTAAATAATTAAATCATTTAAGCTATAATCAAGTGATTTCTAAGCTAATATCTTTACTTCTAGTGATGTGATGGATATAAAAATAAAAACAGGTAAGACAAACATTTAAAATTTTTAAATTAGAATTGAGCAGTTATAATTATTTATAATCATATTTATAAAAAATTATAACATTAGTAAACAGGATGCTCATTTTCAAAAAATTTTGAAAAAGTTGCTAGCCACACAATCATAATACTTGAATTTTCACTTGTTTTTGACATCAACAATATGAAAAACATCTTTCTCAGGAGAGTTTTAACTACTAAACAATATAAATCAATTCTGTACAAGTATGTTATAAGAACTGAAAGTGTCCTAAGTAATACTAACTTTAATGAAAATAGATCTTTAAAGTCTAGACACTGCTAGTGTGTCTGAAAAAGACAAGGTATGTTCAGTTGACATTCATATTGTATGAGCTTGAAAATAATCAGTTATTAGTTGAGACCTCTGTACTGCAGAAGACTCCAGCTGTGTTGATTTCAGGAAAGCTTTTATGGTAATTAATAGCTCAATCAAATAAAAATAATGGCACATAATGCTTCTTTTTGATTCTATACACCTGGAAAAAAGTTAAGCACCCC